CAGGGTCAGTGATTATTATGTAATATTATGTATTCTGTAAAATAATAAAAAAAAGACAGTGTATTGTATACAGGGAGGAACTCTAGGTTCAGAAGAAAAGTAACACTTTTATTTGGAGATGAGTAGATTCACACTAGCTGATCAGGTGAAAAGACTGATTTTATAACACAGAATCAGGTCGGTCTATTGAGACTTGACATAATTAAAGAGCCTGTCTGGACATTTGCACCTACTGACAGAGATGGTTCAGTTTCTCTCCCATCCTAATGTGTTCCTTTTAAAATAAGCTGATGGAGACAGCAGATCATTTATGCATTCAGATTCAAATATGTATTTTCAGAAGCAGGTGAAGGGATTTGTGAGAACATGTACAGAAATTACATGCTGGGTATAGCCAATACCTATAGACAACACTGATATAGTCTGCATTAAAAAAAAAAAAAATAAGACACCTACTGAATGTCATATGCTCAGACAATAGGTTAAAGAAGCTGCACAAAAGCATAGTACAAGTACAGTGAGGTGCCTGGGAAGGTGAGTGTTTGGTAATAAAACAAACAAAGTCCTTTGCGATCAATTAATATTAATTGCAAGAATTAATGAATAATGCATTATTCAAGGATACATTACAATTATTAGATTTAACCCAGTTTCACATTGGAGAAGTGAGCTTTTAAAGACTTCCAGTTTGAAATATTTAGAAAAGGATCAGCAGTGTCTAATGGAAAGCTCTTGGGGGCCAGGGAGAGATAGAGAGAGGATGAAATAACTTCATAGTTTCTCTTGCCCATCCCTACCATCTTTACTTTAAAAGAGAAACTGCAACCAGACCAAAGGGGGGAAAGGATCTGGAGAATGCCTCTGACAGTACTGAGCGTGGCCAGAGTCTTCCAACAGCATGCCATTGACATCACAGTATTTCAGGAGCTGGATTGGTCTGAACAGACAGGCCAACGACTGAAGTTTGGGAGACCATTCAAAACTTCTTTATGGGTTCATTTTCCAAAGTCATGTGGTAATATGATCAGTTGCAGCCACCTTTGAACAAAAACAGGGCACAGGACGATGGTGTTCATTAATATTTCTAGTAGTATTTTAGTCATGAGTTATCTTTGGCAATAAGTCCACAGGATAAGAAATAAGCCAAGTCAGGGAGCTCTGGATTATTGATGCTTACATTCTCTCTATTTATTGAATGCATTTATTTCTGATGAAAACAGAAGAGCCTATTCAGAAATATGCAGTTTGAGGAACTTTGATATATAAATGTAAAAAGAATATGGAAATGATGAAATAAAACTCTTGTGCATAAAGTGGACATTATCCTTCTGCAAGCTGCCTAACAGAGAAAAACAGTACAAGAAACACTAATACTGATTATTTGCTAAATGTGTTTTCTGTGCTGTGATTGCTGCCAGGAACTGGCAATAAACGTCAAGGTCTGGACTTGATTCAGAATGCTCATGTCTTTCTTTCTATGTTTCTCTGTTATGCCCCTGAAGCTATTTTCCTTCACTGCTTCAGTAGAGGTGATCAGAAATTGTTATTGCTGATAGCTGATGTGGAGGAGAGAAGAGCTGGAGGTGAAGCTGTTCAGATGCTCCAAAAAATGGAGTGCCTGCAGCAAAAAAATGAATTCTTGTGATGCATGAGTGGCCAAGATTTCTTTTTCCTTGATCCATCTTGTGTGTGTTGCTACCGTAATATAATCATAATAGCAGATCATAATAGCAGCTAATGAATCAGTCAAAATTAATCACCACAGAAACTTTTGAGAGAAATTAGGTCCCTTTCTGTTTCCAGATCCATAAATCCAGAGCACAGTTTCTAATTGTGTGCCAGTTTCTCAGTTCAAATAATTCGGCATTACTCTATGACCTGTAACCAGGACTACAACAGATAAGAATCTGACCTGTATCATTCCCCAGATCATAATCTTAAGTAATATCCTTTATATATGATGTTAGCTCAATCCTTGATTTTCATTAAAAAAGGTTATTAAAATGTAGTGAACTTTGAATTATCATTTCTAATAAATCACAATTTTACTGATTATACTGTCATTATTAAAATAATTGTGACCCTTTGTTGAAGTCACATTATACTGAACACTCAAAAATGTAAGCCTTGCATAACATGAATAATGATAGCATGACTAATAATGATACTTTGACTATTAATCAACTAAGTGAATTCAAAACATAGGAAGATTGATAGGAAAGTACCTGAATTAATTCTGTTATTCGCTGTAGAATTAAAAACGGTCATGAAAAATAACTGCCATTAAAAATGGTAATATAAACTGATGAAGACTGTAAAATTTTTTGGTCAAGAATGTCATAAAAAAAATTAATTTGAAAAAGCACAGCATTTTGCAAAGTATGAAAGGGCTTGATTTGTTTTCAGAAATCTTTTCAAATGTTTCTCATCTCCCTTATTTGAGTGTGCTTTTCAGGTTTTTTCTTAGAGCAATCAAGAACGTGCAAACAATTGATTCTTATTTAATGCTACACTTAGAGTGTTTTCTACAACTGTGGAGTCAAGATGTAAACAAACAATGGGAGTTTACAGAGAGAGGTGTTCCTAAAAACGCAGAAAGCTTCTGCTGGCTGTCCCCTGAACTTGGGATTCCTCTGCACACAGAGAACACTTTGAGGTTAAGAGAAACCTCTTAGTGACTCTGCAATGGCATTAACAAAAACATGCAGATTTTCAGTCCTCTGAGGAACTGAGCCTTTTCCTTTTGTTTTTGTGTATCGAGTGACATTTGACAAGCAGGAGCATTTACAGCAGGCACCACCTCTCCTCCAAGCGCTTCTCAAATGCCCCAGATGAAGACCTTGGAGACCATTAATTACAAAATTCATTTGTAGCTCCAGGCACAGAGCGACTTAAACAGAAATAGCTGAGACATAGGCAGTTGGAGAAGGGAGCTGGAGAGGTTTCTGTTCATACCACCGCCCTGAGGCCAGATCTGCATTGCCTAGCTCCTCCTGAAGGCCTCTGGTGAGATGATTTACACCATTCTCACCTCTGTCCCATCCTTCCTAAAAGAAACAATCATGACCTTTTCTCTTAATCCTACACATCCTCTCAAACAAGCGCTATCTCGGAGGGATACATCTTTCAGACAGGGACCTGTTGGCAGGGAAAGGTTTTCTGGGCAAAAGGCTATTGCAGCCACTGTGAGGTTTATCCCAGTGGCCATGTGAATGGGGACCATCGCCCCTGCCATGCCGTGAGGATGGCAACAGCCATCACTCACCATCTCAGTGAGTTAGTCTTTTCCCTTGAGTCAGGGCAGCAGGAATTAGTCATGCCCGAGGAGCAAGGGTCATGAGGCAGGCAGTGGGAGGCCGGGGTTTGTGTGGAAGGTGGGAGCAGGGCAGCAAAGCTTTTGTGGCACAACGGGGCAGCACCAGGGCAAGGCAGGAAAAAGAAAGAAGAAGGAGGAAGTAACAAGTTTGGCAGCTCACTCTTTCTGGGTGTGCACTAGCAGGGGCATTTGGGAATTACCCTCTGGGATTGCAAATGCTGCCCCTTTTCAGTCATGCTACAATCTCCTCAAGGTTTCATCTGCACGGCTTCAATGACCTGATCTCAGTGGGCACCAACAGAATCCCTCCTGGAACAGCACGAAAATTTGGTACAATTTCACAGGAGGACAAAGGGTTAAGGAAAGAGAGAAATGCGAACTAAAAGGCAGAGCCTCGAATCAGGACCCACCAAAACGTAACGTGTGAATGCAACAGTAGTTTGAAAAGCTCTCAGAGGAATAATATCAAGGATCACCTCTCTACTGCGTGCCAGGAGACGCTTTCAAGTACCACCAACCTAGCCAAACACATCACTCAGAATGTCCAATGCCTTTGTTTTTTTCAGATGAGAGTCCCGATCGCCACGTCCGCAAACAAGAACTGCAGCAACTGGAGAATGCAAACGACATCAACAAAGATCACTTTGAAAATGCAGCCACCCTCCCCCGCATTGCAGCACTAATGCAAACACTAGCATTAGTGAAAATTTAGATTTCACAGATTTGCTGACAGAATAAATGACAGCACTATCTCCTGACGTTCAGCCTTCCTTTCCCAGCCATACGTGCTGCCTATATATTCTGTCAAACAACAGAAAGCCACATTGAAAGGTAAACAGAATGAGAGGCAAGTAGTACATATGGTCTGCTGCACGATTTATTGTCCCACCACAAATTAGTAACTGTTGGGAAGCTGGCACTAAAAGAGTAGCCTCTCCCTCTTCATGGGGGGTGAAAGGGCTGCCCCCCGAAGCTGTGGGTGGGGGGCTCTGTCTCCCCACCTTCAACCCCTACCCTGGCGGGGCCGCCTCCAGCCCTTGGCAGAGGGCCGGACCAGCGGGCTCGGGAGTTAGGGGTGCCTTTTCAGATGGGGCCTGGGCTGGGGGAACCAGGGGCAGTGGGGGCCATGGAGGGTGGACGTGCCGGTGTTTCAGGCGGGGGCTGCGGCTGCTGGTGTTGGTCCCAGCTGTCAGGGATGCCGGGGTGGCTGGTGGGGCTGACCGGGCGCAAGGGGTACCCGCCGGTTTCCAGCCGGTGTCCCCAAGGTGCAGGGGCATGTCTGTGGAGAGAGGAGGACGCTGAGGCACTCGGCTGCAGGATGGACACAGGGACTCCTCTCCAGAGCACGGCCCACGAGCAGCCATGCAAGGGAGCAGTGGGGGGAAAATCACTGACTCTTTGCTCTTACTCCGCTGCTTGCATCGCCTCCCTTGCTGAGGCAGAGGCGGGCAGTGAGCCACTGCTTCCTCCTGGAAACGCCGACTCCTGCACAGCCACTGCGTCGGTCTCTTGAAAAAGAAAATGGGACAGCTGGGTCAGGTGGAACCGTTCCCCATCAGGGCGGTGGCACCTCCAGGAGGCAACGCTTCTCAAAGACATCGGTAAGGTTTAGATAAATAAATCTGCCTGCCGACATCTGCACAAGCCAGCTGTGAGCCGTGATGGTAAAACGGGGGCACCAGCTGCCCTTGGCACTTGGCTTGAGCCACAACTGGCAGCAGAGGCTCTGCCCCATCTCTGTGGCTCGCCAGCGCCTGCAAGGCGTGAGACCCAGCATCGCTGCTGCGAGGCTCTGCTCGACCCCTGCCTGCTGGGCAGGCGACGGCGTGTCTGGACACGGATCTAAGAGCTCCAGTTGACGAATCTCACGGCTAAGGCAGAGCGAAGTATACCCACCCTGTGTTCTCTCCAGCTCCTCTAGTATTTGCTAAATGACTTCTGATGGCTCCCGGAGTTTTTTCCTCCTTCAGCTCTTGGAGGACTTAACAGAACGTATTTGGTACGATTCCACATGAATAAATTGCAGAAAACCAGTGCACAGCCTGTGAGGTGAGCAGAGGACAGAATACTCACCCCTGGGATGCCAGCCAGACTCTTGCGCCGGATCCAGCCGAGGAGCTGGAAAAGTCCTCCCGTCGGGAACACTGTAATTATTAATCACCCAGAGAAGCTCCCGTCATCTACACTGGCAGACGCGAATCGCAGGAGCGGTGAGGGGGTCACGCAAGGAGAGGGCACCCACGGGCAGGTCTCCGTCCTCCCACCTGCAGAGGCGCCCGGCCGGCTGACCTTTGGGCTGTGAGTGGGCAGCTCTGAAGGGGAGGGAAAAGCCAGGACGTACCCGTGCCATCTCCCGCAGTCGCCGACCCGGAACCCAGCTGCAAAGCTGCATCACCTTCTGCAAAGAAGCACAGGACAGAACGGCTCCGGTGACACAGTCCAGGATACTTCCTCAGATCGGAGTGGCAGCTCAGGAGCGCCGGGCAAAGACGGGATTACTCCACGGCACTCCTCTCTCCCCTCCGCTCAGGAGCTTGGTGCAAAGAGTTACCGTGTGCCTGCAGTGGCACCACGCTGGGACAAAATGAACCACGCGTGGAGCCGCTGGGAGAAAGGACTCCCTGGAGCTCGCACCAGCTCTGAAGTCAGCGCCAAGAAGCCCACTGGCTTGGCAGCTGGCACCGGGAGGGAGCAGCTCAGGCTCCCAGGGGCCGGCAAAGAGCTTCGCAAGGGAAAGCGCCCTGGGGCACGGCACTCAGCCCGACCCTTTCCCTCTCTTCTCTCTCTGCTCTGCACGTCTGCGCGTCGGCCGCAGAACGAGCAACTTGCATTTCACACGGAAAGAAAAAGTTAAAAGGTAGCTGCTCCTTCCAGGCCATGTGCAGCACCTCTAGGAGCAGATGGACCAACATACGGCCCCTCGGGGCTTTCTGACCGGGAGAGCTCACACACAGAGAGAGGAAGCCGGTGCTAAAGCACCGGAGGGAGAAAGTCATCCTCCACGCTTCCTGGGGAGAAGAGCCCTCTGGCCCGTGAAAGGCTGCACGAGCCGTCCCCCACTTACCTGTTCCCCACGCTTTCCACAGAGCCGTCCCGGCAGCCCTGGCATGCAGGGCCACCAGGAGCAGGAGGATGAGGAGGAGGCGGTGGGTGGGGACCATGGCCCTGTGCTTGCACCGTGCTGCTGCTGCTGCCGCTGCTGCCGCTGCTGCCGCTGCCGCTGCTGGTGCTGCAGTGGGGTCCGGGGTGAGCAATCCGTATTTGTGGCCGTCGTGACATGACAGGGCTCTGTGACCTCACAGCCCCACTGTGACCTCACAGCCGGGCCGAGGCTGCGTGGGAACGTCTCTCAGGGCGCTCGTGGAGAGCCGCTGGAGCGCAGGCGGGGGAGCTGCCCTCCCGGAGAGGGGAACACGTCCCCTCGGCAGCTCCGTCCAAGGGCTGGGACACAGTCCCACCCGGGGCTGAGCCCACAGCTCTGCCCTGCTTTCCGGGCACTGTCACAGGGGCAGCGAGGAGCTCCCAGTCCCCCCGAAGAGGAGGAAACCGCAGGCAAGGGATTTCTGACCTCCTCGGGTGCTGTTACCAACAGCTCAGGATGATGCTGATGGAGCGAGGGATTTCAGTCTCGAGGCAAGTGCAAGATGCCCTCCCGGAGTCAGCTTCCAGGCTGGAGCCCCCTTTGGCACTAACCAGGCACTAACCAGGGCTAATGGGTCACTTTGGGTTTAGGGCAAAGATGAAGTTTTCACTTTTCCATTTCCTCTTCATGTGTAATTGAAGGGAATACTTTCTGTCAGGGTCCTCACAGAGCAAAGTCAATCGATAAAACAGGCAAAAATTCTCTTAAATTATTTGACATGCAAAAGGAAACCACGTGTGGCAGGTGCACCCACCTGCTGGAAATGGGGCTTCCTGGCTGCTGAAATATAGTGGCCATTGATTTTTTTTTTTTTTTTTTGGTGCCCTTGTTCTCAGGGCTTTATGGGAATTGGGGCCCTCAGCCAATAAGGGCTGATTATTGACCACAGATCAGATTTGTCGAGGGTAGAAACGGAGCCCCCGGGGGGAGCCATTTTGAGCTAGTCCCCCCTGGAGCAGCACAGCTGAGGTCGAGGACCGTCCCCTTGGGTCGGGACGCTGCCCAAGGAAACTCCTTGAGGTTCCCCCCTTGGGTCGGGATGCCGCCCGAAGAAATTCCCCACGGTTGAGAGCCCTCGCTTTTTAGGTGAGTGACCAAGCGCTTTGGATTGTCGTTAAATCCCAGGAGTTTGTGCAGCAATAGCTTTTCCTCTCCCTGACACTCAGATCTGCCCTTTGTGAATGATTGCCAGAGTGCCAACTGACTGTATTTAAATAAATTTTATTTTAATTGTTGTCTATCTCGAGAGCCCCCTCAACACCGCATGAGGAACACACGGTGGATATATGCTGCCTGACCAACTAAGACAAGTTCTGTTACTATAGGAGGTGCATTCTTGGCTTTCCCTGGAATCACAGTAGCTCATACTCCAGGATAGGCCTGATGAATTAGGAAATCTTTATCTGCAAGCTTATCTTATAGCATTGGGGAAACAATTGGAACAAATTAACAAAAGCGTACTGGGAGTTAGAGTAAAAGGACTGGACCATCCTACCTATCCTTTCAACCCGGGGGACTGGGTTTATGTTAAGAATTTTTCATGTGATCCGCTATAGGAGAAGTGGAATGGACCGTACCAGGTACTGCTGGCTACCTTCACTGCAATCAAGGTCAAAGAACAACCTGCTTGGATTCATTACTCCCGGATAAAGAAGGCTCCTAGTCAGCAACGGACATTTGAATCTTCAGGACCACTGAAGCTGAAAATATGACGTCAGAAGCTATGCAGGACATTGTTAAAATAAAGTTGTTGGTTACATGTTGTGTGAATAGATCTGAGACACTTGACGATAATCTGATTTTAAAATTAATCCAGGGCTTTGGGCAGATTCAGAATGTGTCATCAGTAACTGCCGGTTTACTGTTCCCTAAATCAGCACAAAATCCAGTCCCTCGGGAAATTCTTACTACTAACCTTACTGCTACATAGCAGCGTATGTGGCAAGGGAAAGTGAGCAGTCTCAAGTGAAACAATCAGGAAGGCAAATTTCAAAAGAGTAAACGGTACTACTGCGGACTGTAACATAACTAAATCCCCTACACCATGGACAAAGGAAATCACTTGCCGTCCTGTGAAAGATGAACATACAAATACACCATGGGGTTGTCAGCTTCCATCAATCTGGAAAGGGCCTCAGAAGTGAAAATGGGATCATATTGAGGACATAAAATGGTGCCTGAGATCTGAAGGACTGCTTGGATGGCCTGAAGACCCTCTACAAGTGCCAGTCAGATACGGGAATATAAACTTAAACAATATTCCAGGAGGTAAGGTAAACAGGAACTGGGACTGTAGAAAGATCTTTACTTGCAACTCTACAGATCCAGAAATACAGAGGCTCTAACGTGCGGCAAAGTTATTACGGCTGGGTTGTGCATGTAAAAACAGGACACCACCACTCAATGATACTTGGTCGTACCTGACTAACAGTAACCCCCGGCCTAACATAGCTTGTACTGTGGCTAGAGTAGAAAGCTTAGGTCCGATGGTATGGGTTAGTAGTGATGGAGAATGAACCACCCATGCTCCCCCTGGGGACAAATTAAAGAACGGACTCTAGGATTATTGACCCTATGTCCCCTGTGGAAACAAGCCCCCTTAAGGCCTAAATGGTGGTTACGAACAAAAAGGGAAGATACCTGGTGAAGACCTAGTCTGGGAGTTAGGGTAGGGTGGGTACTGGGATCCTTTTTTTTACCGGGCGTTTCAACACTGGAAAACAAGGTGGCTCTATATAGTCTAACCTTTCAGGCAGAGATCTTAGCTAATGCAACAGAGCAAGGCCTACAAGACCTAAATGCTCAATTACAAGCCACAAGTAAAATGACTGCAGAAGAGATTAGCTTTAGATTTTATACTTGTCAAAGAACATGGACTATGTGGTTATCTTGATCTAAGTAATGATACTTGTATTCACATTCCAGATGTGACACAGGATCTAGGGAATCAGATAGAGAAAATACAACAAGTTGCTCAACACAGTAGGGGAATTAGAGAAGGATTGGAGGGAAACTAAATAGTATTCTAAAAAAAGTTGGGATTCTCCTTGTCTGAATGGACAGCATCGTTGTTGCAAAACTTAATAGTAGTTCTCATAGTAATAGTAGCAGGAGGCGTTATGAGTGTTTGCACTAAAAACCTCACGGTAAGAATAGTACAACAAAGGTGGGCCAGTATAGTAGTGCAGCGGTACCAGGGATAGGAAATGTTGCAAAAGACTTTGCGACAAGAAAAGAAAAGGGAGGGAATGAGGAGGGAAGACTGAAGTACTGAGGCCTGAACAACAGGCCAGAACCAAAATTGACCTCTAGACGAATCTCAACACCCCACAATATAGTACCAGTCACAGGTAGTATTAGCCACATCTATAACGTATTATTAGTCTATCTTAATATATTTATCTAGAGAAGCTCTGTTGTAACTTCATTATGTAACAATAGCCGATCAACCGATCCTTCTTTATTTAGAGGCACGAGGTGAGGCCAGACATCAGATGCTATTGAGAAATATGTGGTTAAAGCCCAAATAGATACACAAGCCCCACCTTGGGTTCCTCCTTAAGCCCTGGCTGGGCTTTGGCTGAAATCCAACAGGGAGGTGACACCAGCTGTTTCCTCACTCGAAGTTTGAAACCTGTTTATTCAACACTATAAAAGCTGAACCCTCTTGCAGCGACTTTGGAGACCTCACCTACGAGTGGACACACTGCATAGGACCTCCCAGTTGCCGGGAAAGGCTCTCCAGACCCTCGCCGCAACCAGGGCTCCCCAGTGACTGCGGATCTGGATGATGGTTAAGTATTAGGGCAATTGGTGATGTATCTTTCTTAATTACTATCGCTGACTT